ATGTATGTATAGTGTGTGTCTTAGTGTGTGTCTGTGTCTGTGTATGTATGTTTGTATGTGTATGTGTGTGTGTGTGTGTGTGTGTCTGTCTGTGTCTGTGTCTGTGTGTTTACAAGAGACAACTTGCAGGTGTCTGTGTGTTTACAAGAGACAACTTGCAGGTGTCTGTGTCTGTGTCTGTGTGTGTGTGTGTGTGTGTGTGTGTGTGTCTGTGTCTGTGTGTGTGTGTCTGTGTGTTTACAAGAGACAACTTGCAGGTGTCTTGTTTATATACCTGAAGCATACTTTTAAATGTATACATTGAAATACTTTTATATATGTACGTATTGTATTGTACTTTTATTATATTAGGAATGTATAATTGTATGTCTGACTGTTGTTTTATCCATTTTGTTTTATAGAAAAAAATGATTTAATTTCTTTTTCGATTTTTTATTGTGAGAGTGGTCACACTGATCCGATCAGACCGTTATTCATTTATTTTTATCCAACACACAAAACGACTAGAGAGAAGTCGGCCTTCCGCAGGGTGTACGCTGGGGCGCAGCCCTTATTATTTATCTATTATTAAAATATGTGCCTACCCGGCACTACATACTTGGGGGACTTTTAGTTTTGTTTTTTGTTTTTTTTTGTTTTTGTATGTATTATTCTAATAGAAAAAAAATCTTTTTGTTTTTTTGAGGCCACAGGATGGTAGGTAATTCGTGTTTTATTATTATTTTCCCATCGTTTTTTTTTTTTTGGAAAGGGGTTGGGCATATTAATTCTAGTTCTTAGTGAGATTCGATTCCAGAACACAATCTGTAAAGCCATTGCACAAAAGTCTTTGTGGCAAACTCGGTAATCTGCAGTATTCAAACACACAATATACTAGCAGGTGTACAGTGCGTCATAGACAGTCCCGAAATGCATACCCGTTTGTCTCACATGGCTGTATATTCGGGTATACTATTTTAATACGACTATCGTCCTGTTCGATAACTACAGCACTAGCAAAAGTCACTTAACATAGTGTGCGGAAAACAGATCTTTCCTAAATGACCTTCGCCTTCTGAGGGACCGAGGTTGTTTTCGGCGGGACAGTTTTACATAACGGCAATGTCGCGGTGATATCCTGTGATTTTATACGTGAATAGGCTATCCATATACACACTACTCGGTTCAGGCCGAATCACTAGAGCTGACATTCGAGGGTTTATTCTCCCCTTCTTTGCTAGTTTAAAACCGTGACCTATAACATTGGATCAATAACACATCACGGTAAGGAGTACTTGAATAGACTTCTCTTTTATCACAAAAGATACACTTACTGAGGGTCAACTTCGCCCATAACACTACATCGAGTCCACAGTCCCGCACAACGAGCTGATGCATGTGTGTAGGTACAAGCAGGAACTACAAGTTGCGTTTGCGGTGAGAGATCTTTGATCTATATAAGCTGCGAGTGCATACAGAGTTGCGGTTTGTTGGACACCGCGTTCTGTTCGATTTCATGTACGGATTTCGTACTTTATATTTTGTAGACACATATAGGAAATTGTGAATTTTGCAGGGCAAATGTTTTCTTGTTGCTTCGGAGGAGGAGCCTCATCGAACAATCAGGGCAACAACCGCGAACCCAGGAGGGATCCTGCTGCTGGTGGCGAGAGTATAATCAACGTATACACCCCAGAGGTTAACCCTGGTGTGCCGGTATCGGTGCAGCACGCAAAATTCTTAGCCATGCTGGACGCGATGGAAGAAGCTAATCACCCGCCGCCGGGACCAGACACTTTCAGTAAGCAACAAATTATGAATACACCCAACACAAATGCAAATATGAATACAGGCATGGGGGGTAGTCGTAAGGTTGGGAATGCATTTAATAACCATAGTCAAAGTACCGCGTCTCTGCGGTCAATCCAAAGGGACGGCAGTAGGGGTTCGATGTCCCCCATGGCCCTGAGCGCTTCGAAGACTAGTTTAAAAAGCCATCATAAGAACTCGGCGAAGTCGTCGCCGAAGGCAAGTATAACGCTGACACGACAACCGGAAAGGAATCACGTTTATATATCTCCAGAGGCCCCAAGTTAGGCCAACCGTCAGCTGACTATTAAGGTTTAGGGAAGGGGTCGAGCTGCATGCAGTACTGGCAGAAGAGCTACATATTGAAAGGGTTATTGTCGCGTGGACACGTGTGCGCGTTTGTTGCCATATGCAGATAGAAGCCAGTGAAATTAGATTTGCACAAGCGCGTGTAATAACACTTGTAGAAGTGTACGCACTCAAGTTGATTGAGTGAATGGGGCTTGTAGGCTTCGTCTACCTCATACTTGTCTGATGTTAACAGAGGGTATCCAAAGGTTGAGTGGCTCGACTTAAAAAATGAAAATAGGGACCGCAATATGTTGTACGTAGCTGACATAATTTAGTAGGAAACGGCTGTGCGGAAGCTGAAGATCTAGGATGTGGAGTTGGGAAGCAATGATAACAAAGCAAATGAAACAGAAGGGTATTCGGACTTTGGAGCACTTCCGTGTCGTTATATTGTTTGTGTATAGTGTTTCAGGGATTGACACTTGTTTGTTTGTGGTGGTTATGTAGTTTGCTTTGGTGGCGCATCTGTGCGTACTTGTTAGCGTTCCTGACCGTTTCTATATTCGTGGTGCACTGTAGCGTGCCGTGATGTCGAACAGTAATTCTGCTGTTAGACATTTTATACTACCTGATGGCCCAGAGGATGTTCCCAATGAGTATAAGTTAAACGTTACACTTTGTACTTTTCTCTACGTGAGCTTTTCAAGGCTCGGATACACTACACACGTCCAATTTGTACTTAAGATACATTGTAGGCCTGTTCTAAGATATGAGAAGCCGTAACGAACTGTTGATATGCAACGAACGGATTTACAAGCTGGCATATATACAACGTGAGCAACCAGTCCATTCAGTTATGGGCAGATGCCGACCTTTTGTTCCTTTTAGAAGAGCCACTATTCGATCCTAACTCTCGCCGTTGTGCCTCCATGATTGCAAAAGCTATCAGTACATTCCTTGCTGTCCATATGAGTTGGCATGATAAGGATCTCGAAATTTGCCGAACGTTTGCTTTTCTCCATCTTTATATCGTCAGGTGGTCACCGTTCTCCTAGATAATCATCCTTTCCTTTATTGATGAATTCACTCGATATTGCCAACCCAAATATTAGGTGTATCATAAATATTTGAGAATATATATATATTAATACATACATATATATATGTGTGTCTGAGAATGTATGGATGTATGTATATTTATTTGTATGTCTGTATATATATATATATGTACTATATATGTATGTATGTATGCATGTATATAAGCATATCTATATTTATATATATATACGTTCGTATGTATATGTATATACATGTGTGTGTGGGTGTCTATCAATCTATCTAACTAAATATCTATAGTATTTATTTGTATATATAAATGTATATATATATATATATATATATATGTGTGTGTGTGTGTGTGTGTTATTATATATATATATATATATATGTGTGTGTGTATTATATATATATATATGTGTGTGTGTGTGTTGTTGTATGTTATTTATTAGTTAGTATTATT